ACAGCCTGATGCATACACCCTGCCAGTCAGCAGGGAATCCAGTGTGATGCCCAGATTCCATCCCTGCCTGCATCCCAGCTCACCTGGGAGAAGACTGTGGCACTAGACCTTCGCTGACAGGCATGCACTGCTGCCCTTATGAGGAAGCTCACATCCAATGCCAACATCATGAAACTATTATGTTATTTACTGGAGAGAGGAGTAAATGTTCTCAGTCCCTTTCAGGCAGCGGGGAGCTGCCTCTTGCCTGAGGCTGTGGACCTGCCCAGACCTCAGGGTTGGGGCAGTGCTGGCTAGGGGAGAGACGCTCAGAAGCTATCCTTAAAATATAAATGGAAAGGTGGGCAGAAACAGGGCTCTTGGATTCCCTTCCCAGTGCTCTGAATTAGAAGTTTCTTTGCATATAGGCCATTGAGAAAATAATGTGCTTGCGGATTTTATTCCACTGATGGAGAAGTTTATGTGTCAGAGTTAAAACATTGAGGGAAGAGGGGGTGGAGGGACAGAAAGCCCCTTCCTTCTTTGAGACAATAAATCCTCCAAATTTAAGCCCAAATTTAAGACCAAGAGCTCTGCAATAGCACATGGAAACAACTGACAATTAACATAGCAGTCTTCTAAGCGACAGAGAACCACTAACAACCCCCAGATGAATAAGAAAAATTCTTCCTATTAGCAGAGAGAAAATGCAGAACAAGTTCTGCTTTTTGATGTTTACCATTTTTTGATATATATTGGTATTTTTTCTTTCTGGCTTTTTATATTTTTAAAGGTTCTGTTACTTTTCACACAGCTGCTGTTACAGAAGCAAAATGTATCCATCAAGAGTGTTACGAAAACCAATATTGGCAGAAAATATGCCAGATAACTGCTGGTTAACAATGTCTGATACTATTTCTGTTTCTCTCTTTTTTTTTTTTTAATTCTTCTATTTCTTCCCCCATCCACCCCCTGACTCCAGCCAACAGCTTCCAGTGATGTACAGAAGATGATGCATTTGCTATATTAAAGTACCTCCTATTCCCTGTCCCTTTTCAGACACTTTGGATGTTGCACATGCAATAATAACCATAAACAAAACAAGAAAAGACAGTTTATGAAACCTGAATCCAAGACCCTAGTCTTTCTTTGCAAAGCAAAAAAATACCCCAAACCCAAGAAAACCCTAAACAGTGAGAGGGTTTAAAGAAAAGTTACATATTTACAAGTCTCAGGCAGTTATCTCTCCAAAGAGGAGATTTTGTAACCCTTCCTCTTTCCCACTACTCTTCTGTATCATAACAGAACAAACTAGCCAGGGCTAAATTGAAAATCTTGCGATTATTCACACTCCCTGTATCATTTATAGTTGTATATAAAGAGCTGCTGATTATCTGTGAGATACACGTTCCCTGCTGCAATCGCTCATGGACATGAACTGCTGGACATACAGTTGTTCCCTCTCCACCACCACTGCTGCCCAAAACACACACCAAAATCAATTATTGCTACTTGTTGGGTAAACAGAAGCAGTCTCACATATATGGGCACTGAACATGCACAGAGAAATAACTTTCCTTTCTGGAAAGACAGCAGAATTATTAACATTACAGACATGTCTACCCTCAGCTTTTACTTCTGCCAGAGAGAAAACAGGTATGAAACAAAACAGGAATGATGCAGGTACATGGGTGGGCACAAGTTTTCTATTAAAAGGACAGCAAAACCAAGCAAAATGAGACAGACACAAGGTTAGCCAGGTGTGCATGCGTCTCACCTACCTTTGCATGGAAAAGCAGTCTCCAAGAGAGAAGTGTCCAAGTCAGAGAATCAAAATAAAATAATAATGAGGATGCGCTGAAAAAATCCCTCTACCAAGAAAAAAAAAGGCCCCCCACCTCCCCCCTTGCACACAGGCACACTCACACACAGATACACACACCTCAGTGCCCGGGGAGGGGGGGGATAGGAAAAAAAAGATCAGGATCAGCTGAGTGATGGGGAGCAAAGAACCTGCCGGCGAGAAGCGAGGAGTTGTGTTAGATCCGTGCCTGCGAGGACTGAGCGTGTGCAGGAAGGAGATGGTTTAAAAGGGGAATACATGGTAAGAAATTGTAGCTGCTCAGGCTGGAGTCTGAAGCTCCAGGGTCAGAGCAAATGAAAAGAGGTTTAAAAAAGGACCTATTCCTTCTCAGGAGGGTTTGGGGGGGCTTTGTCTGTATGTTTTTCCAGGCAGGTGGTGTTAAGAAGTGACTGAAGCTTCCTGCCAAAAAGACCAGAGAGGGTCAAAATATTTGTGGGATGCTGAGAGGTGATGGAGGTGTGGGTGAGGGCAAGGTTAGCTATTCCGTGATGGGAAAGTGAGGAGGAAGGGCTGGTATGTGGTTTCTGCCTGTCTGTCTCTCTCTCTCTGTCTCATGATATGTTCACCAACAGCTTATGGAGCAAACTGCACAGTGAGAGAGCGAGAATAACTGTACAGGCAGAGAGGGAGAGTGAAACGCCGTCCTTACAGTGACACCAAATGTCTTCTGGGGAAACCTACAATTAGAGGTAGAGAATGCAGGAATTCTAACAACACTGGGGGAAAGGAAGAAATCTCCTTGTACACCATCACACACTGACATCCATGGTGGGGTCTCAGGACAGCTGATTTGTCCTTGCCTTCAGCCCACTCATCATTCCTTTTCTGATGGACACAGGCTTTCAGCATGCCTGCCTTTCCCTGAACTTGTAAACATCTGTCCCTCCACAAGTCACAGATCAAGCAGGTTAGAGAATTATCCCTTGGGAAGAGTTAAAAAATAAACTAACAATCCCCCCCAAAGTCCTTTCCTCAAAACCAGTCCCTTCTTTCCCCCTATCCTACTACTAGATCTGTTACGAGAACTCAGACAGTGGGAACAATATTTCCAGGGGGAAATGAGGGGGATGGATAACATGCAGGGATCTCACCTTCCAGTGCCTAAACAGAGTACAGCTGCCCTCAGCCTCATCCAATGGATGGCTAGCCCAGCATCTCCTCCGCAGGTCCCATTCCAAGGCTAAGCAGCCCTACCCTGTGTCAGCACAGGCCCCTAACTCTTGGAGCATTTTTGTGCTGGGGACCCCTGAGTCAGGTCTGGGAAAGAGATGAAGCCATCACAGTCCTCAAGGCTTTTCACGGATTTTGCCTGTTCAGACAATAAAACCCCTGGTGTTACAAGAGATAGACATTCCTGCTTCTGCTGTAGGCATATATTGTAAATAAGGAGACAAAAATTGCCAAGTTACCAGTTGAGGTATGGTACAACATGCACTACAGCCCAAAAACACCTTGACTTCCTTGCAGGGATACACAAAGCCTCTCCAAACCAAACCTTCCTTGCCACGACCACGATATCTGCACCAACTATCACAGCTTTTTCGTGCATGGCTGGAATAGCTGGGTCAGAGTAATTAACACATCTAAACTACAAATGGCTGGGAAACCAAGCACTTTAGTCATACTGTGAAACGGGCCCTCGGACGTTAACTCTCTGTGGGAAGCCAATGGAGCAAGCCTACCTTCTGGTAAGTCAGAACCACTCTGGTTTTAGCTCAAGGTAGCTCACATGTCTTCACCATTTAGGGTGAAAAACACAGAGATATCCTCTCCTCTGCCATTCATGTCTGTGTGGCTTGGCTTTGTCATGCCAGGGATGTGAGGCAGATGTCATGGAGCCTCTAGCCATTTACATCACATCAGCCAAGCTCCTTGGAGCCTTGGAGCAAGGTGGTTGGCATGTCACTCTCTCTCATGAGGCCCTTAAAAGTCTTTTGAACAAAGACGATGGCTGCTGTCCGCTTTTAGCATAACACTTTTGTGCTTAATAAAGTGTCTAATCTTGTTACCTCTCTTGAAAGGCAAACACAGTCCTCAGAGGAGCCTCAGGCTACACCAGGACTGCTAAAAAAAAAAAATAGCAATGTTGCAAACAATGGGAATGTTGTGAGCATCAAATTTACCTGATTAACAGCTCTCATGAAAAACAGCCCTTCCTCAGATAAGTACAGCCTTTCTTTTTCCATGTCTTCTGACCAGGGCTGCAGTTCCATGGTGAACTTATGCATCTTCCACAAGATGGAAAGAGATTTTTTTCCAAGGAAAAAAATTTTTGTGGTGGTCAGACTTCTTCCCACAATGGGTCAGAGCCTGTTTGTATTGAAGCTGTGCAGGATCTGATCACTTTTGGCCCCTGGGTTCACTGTCCTGCATGAGCTGGAAGGCTCCCATGTCGAAGCAGGGAGACAGCAAGTGCCCATCCACATCAGGAAGCCACTCAATGTGCAGGATGGGCATGATTTTGTGACATAACAACCTCAGCTTCTCAGTGTGATGGAGATGTGGTGCTGGGCACAACTCCAGACCCACAGTAGTTTGGGGTGATACCAGAGCCATGTAAGTGTCCCAAAAGTCACCTGAGGCAGATGCCCAGGCAGATCTCTAGACAATGGCTCTAAATACCCTGGTGCCAGGCTGCTGACGCCCCACTGAGACAGCTCCTGCTGCAACCAATTCTGGGCAGCCCGCTAAGAGATATTACCCATCCCTAAGCACACCACTAGCACCACACGTAGCAAACATGCCAGCAACCATAGGCACTCACACTCCATATGCACACACCAATGTGTGCCTTACACCAGAGGGGCTGGTTGACCTTCTAGTCCCCTCTGCTAGCAAGTCCACCCTGTGCTGCCAAAGTTAATTCCCTTGGCTTCTTCCTCACCAACCACAAGACACTCGCTACTCCCTCTCTTCATGAAAAGCATCTGTTATTCCTTCCTGAGAAATAGAAGGGCTTCGATTCCGTCCCCAAAATGATGAATCTGAGCATTATATGATTTCAGATGCTGGCAATTCACCAACAAGCCCCTTCAGGGGGAACAGGGAAAAATGCAATTGAATTTATTCATGCATGAATATCAAATGAGAAAAAGAGAATGAGGAGGAGGGCAGGAGAGAGAGGGAGAGGGTGAAGCAGGATGGAGAAACAGCAGCAAGGAGAGGCAAAAAAACTAAAATGGTAAAGGAAGAGTACATGCAGAGGGGCACAGAAGAACAGAGGCACACAAACACACACTCAGGATAATGTGTGGGTCATCACTCATGTCTACATTCCAGGATCATATCTGTTTGTCTGTTTGCTTGCCCACTCATGGGGATAGTGAGACATTTGAACTCTCACTCAGACAAACCATCCAAATCAATAAAGACACACAAGCCTGGAAGGAGGGGAGAGGGAAAGGGGCCGTGTGGGGAAATGGAGCCATGCCGCTCATCACTTCACAAATTTGGAGCTGGTGAAAAAACCAAGCCCCGGGCAGCTCATGCTCCAGAGCAGAGCCCCCTCATCTCCACACCCCTCTGCATCTGTACATACTGAGGAGGATTTCCATGGGCTTGCTGGTACCTACACCACAGGCATTCCCCACAGCAGCAATTTCAAGCCTTGGGCTGGGAAGCCACTGCCCTTCCTGAACAAGAGCCTCCTCTCCACCATCTGCAAGGGAAGAGACTGAAGATGAATGTCTCCTTGTCCTGCAGCTCACAGTAGTCACAGGGCTCCATCTTCAACCCCCAAGGCACTTTCAAAGAGCTTTGTCATCTGCCCTGAGTGATACAGGTGGGCTCTCTTGGGAGAGATCTGGGGGTAGATCACACCAGAGGTGAGCATGGCACAAGCTGGTCCTGCAGATGCATCCAGAGCATTTCCAAGGGTCCCTCACTGTCCTCTCTGTGATTTTGAGAGGAACAGGAGAGTTCACATTGTCCCTGTCACTATCTGAGCCAGCAGCACTGGCTGGTGGGTTAATAGGGAAAGTATGTGATTCACTGCAACTGTTTCAGAGGTTAGACCAGGGGAGAGGGAACAAACGCAAAAGGGGGAGCCATATCAAAGCATAGAGACTGCAGGAATAGCCTGGGGAGATGCAGCCCTCTCTTCTGCAGGTTTGCAGGTGGCTGTGGGCTGAGCTTACCAGGCAGCAACCTACACTGGATTTATAGGCAGCCTCTAACTGGGTCTCACAGGCATCATCCTGCCTCCTGCCAGGCTGACCCAGCCCAGTCCTTCTTGCCAGCCCTGATGGCAAATCCTACTCTCCTGCACAGCATACGGGAGCCAAACACTGACCATCGCTGAGAATCATGTTGCTGTTGCCCCCAGGAATGACTGTGCAGCCCATCCCACTCTCCAGCTCATCTGCACAGTGCACAGATCCCTCAGAGCTCGGTCCACTGCATGCCCAGGTTAGCCACAGCTACATGTTGGCTGAGCTCATCCCCAGGCATGCAGCAACGAAGAAGAGCAGCCAGACAGAAATCAGGCTTGGTCACAGTGCTCCCAGGTAGGGCATCAGGTCCGGCATCTGTTGCTGTTGTGGGTTTATATTTGCTGCTTCCAGGAGATGGTGCTCAGCTTTTCCCACACCCTTCAAAATAGAAAGAGAAAAATAAAATGAGAGAGTGCAAGCTCTGACGTGAACCTAACTTTAGATCCAAGGGCTGATGACTCACTCCACTGGGGGAGAAGTGGCTGAGCTGGCTGTAGGTTTCTGTTTATATACCTCACCAAGCTAAATATATAGATTGAGAAGTTCTTCTGTTCTGGCCCAACAACTTCAATCTGTATTTTATCCCTCTAAATCTTAATGTTCTCTTCCCTTCTAAATCTTCCTCTCTTTTTCCCCAGCATTGCCTTCATAATCCCCTTTATGTTTGCTTTGTTGTAGGAAATTGAAGAAACACATGTCCCCACCTTCCACTCTCCCCAGTGTTTATGGTTAGACTGACAGGGGATTTCTGGAAAATGATTCAGTGTTGTGCCTCTTAAGCACAGCTCCTCTCACAGAGCTGTCAATGCGTTTCAGACCTGGCCTGGTGCTCCCAGCAACCACTCCATGCTAGCAAACAGATGCCATGCCGCCTCCTAATCCACTGATCCTGATAGTTACACAGCTCTCAGGATGGACATTTTTTCCCTCCCAGAGGTCCCTTGTCCCATTGTTTCAGCGTGAAGTTCCTCTCTGGAGCCCAGCTATGTGTCCCAGGGCTGGCAGAGAGCATCCCTGCCTTTTCCAGCCCACCGCGCTGGGGCACGACACCATTTTGCTGACATGCCTTAGGACCTACCTGTCACACTTGGGCATCAGGTGCTCAACGAGGAAGAGCTGATAGCCACTGCCAGCTATTCTCCTCTTTTGCTACCAGAAAAAGGATTTTGTTATCAGCAGAAGACATCCGGATGAGACCTGCACAATTCTTTTCACCTGTGATCTGCCAGAGCTAGGGATTCACACAGGGCACCCACATGGCTGGCACCCCACAGCACCCTCCCTCACACCTGTGCCTGTGTCTTGCACATTGATGGCATAATGGTGCCATGGTTGCTTTCTTATTTGTCATTCATCATGTTTCAGACATGGGCTGCAACCTGTCCATCAGCTGCACAGGAGGTCCAAGCGCCCATAGAGAGGAGTCCCACACATCCATTCCTCCTCTCTGCCTGGTCCTGCCTTCCTTTCACACCACCTGATAAACACAGCATCATCTTACACATTGGAAAAGAAGCCCCTCTAAAAGTTTGACATTGGAGACAGGGAGTGCACACATACATGAGGCTGCAGGACATGCACAAACCTGTCTGGGCTTCCCAAAATTACAAGCCCAGAGTGGTGTAGCAGAGCTGAAATAGATGGTTGAGCACACAAGGACCATTTCTGGTTACACTGAAAGCCACCTCGGATCCATAATATCTGCAAGCTGTGAGATTCCCTGAGCTCCACTCTCTTCATCCGAAACAGTGGAGAAGGAGATGGTATAAAAAGAAGAGCTCAGCAAGAGGCAAGAGGGGAAAATATAAATTAATCCCTACAGCAGAGGAGAGAAACAAAGAGAGTGCAAGGGAAGAAGGAATCTCTGCCCCCAAAGGGCATCTCTGAGCTATGGTGGCAGACAGGTTTCTAGACGGGAGACAAAAACCATTTACAAAAAGGTGATTTGCTATGAAAAACAACAATGGAAAAGAAAAGCATAATGAGAGGGTGTGCATTCGAGGGAGAGGTCTTCAAGCAATGGAATTTAATTTAACCCAACAGCTCAGTCTAGGAAAGGAAGATCACCTTTGCAGTTCGCTTAGCTGCTGCTGGGAAGGGGAACATTGTCTTCAAAGGTCCTGTATGAATCTTCTCTAGATGTAGGTCTGTGAGACCCAGTGATGAAACCTGGATCTGAGGTTCCCCAAGGCATCCCTTGGGTTTGGACCCAGACTGAGGTACACCCATCTCTAGGAGACTGTCTCATACAGTATCTCTATGTCATCTTGCTCAAAACCTTCTCATCTTCACTCAAAATATTAGTGAGCTGGTTTTCCAGCTGGTGGGCAAGCAGCAAAGTTGAGCCATCTTGACCTGCTTCACCTCCCTGATCATCCAAAGGACAACATGCAGAGCCTGCATAGAGCAGCATGATCATCCTCTAAGCAAGAAGGACCAGCACTTCATCTGAAGAGCATAAGCAAGCTAACCTCAAGTGTGTAAGCACTTGCAAAATGCCTGCTGCAGAAGGACAGGCTCTATCTAGGTTGAGGTCAACAGCCTCCAAGAGATCTGTTACCCTCTTGGCACAGTTGTGCTCCCTGGCTCTTTCAGGCAGCCCCTGCCTGCCCTCAAACAGAGGGAGGCCAGAGCAGGCAAGAGGCATCCTCCAATCAGCAGCTACTCCAGGGAGCTGAGACAAAGGCAGCAAAGGGTTATTGAGCACCCCAGAGTAGACTGGTGTCTCCTGTCAGGTATGTTCACCGCTCCTTAAAAAAAGAGAGAGCAAACCTGGACCTCAAATAACAGATAGTCCTTCTCATCACCCATCCATCACTTTGGCCTTAACTCTTTGAGGCTCTGTGCCATGTTTTGAACAGCTGCTTTATCTCAGCTGGCTTTGGATCCAGGGGAGCCTCCAGGAAAACCAGACAAATGTCTGCAGTCAGCTGCGTGGCATGGAGCAGCAACGGGTTGAAAAACAAGAGGACAACTGGGGCTAGTAAGAGAAAATGAGGGAGATTTAACAAAGACAAAATAACAAGAAAGGCAGTCTTGTGGTGCCACCTCGTGATGGGTTTGCACAGCATAGCCTGGGCCAAGAAGTCCTGGGACCAGGGGTAGAAGTGGAAAAGTACTGAGATTAAAGTCTATATGCAGTAAGATCGACAAAAAGGTGAGACACATTCATGTTTGCTATGGCTCAGGAAAAACATCACTTTGGCTGAGACACTGCTTTTCCTGAGAGCATCACAAGCACAGAAAAGGCAGCAGATAATTTCCAGCTCAAATGGTAGAGGACGCCTAAAATGTGGATAGATTCAACCTTTTTCCATTATACTGTACCCTCTGGCAGGGAAGCTTGTGGACTAAAGGCACAAAACAATATGGGACTGAAAAGGAAAATTTGCTTTTTGTTACAGGACTCACCACTGCAGTAGAGGGGTGGCTGCAATGATGCCTTTTCCTGAATCAAAAGCATAAACTGGCACAACATGAAAGGTTTGAGATTCACCTGCCCTCTAACATAACTGAAAATTTATTTCATCCAACAGTCCTTAGTCTAGGCTCTGGAGCAAGATGAAACAAGATCAAATCCCCATGATATAAGCTGAGAGGAATCTTTCCCATTGGGGTGATTATTTCCCCAACATTATCTCTTCCCAGGTCTATCTGAAGCATGGTGCATACTGATTTCCCCCTCATCAGGGGGAATATGCCCTTCCACGTACTTGATGCTATCAGTGAGGAATTTTCCAGTTCTAGAGACAGCTGAGGTACTTTCTGTTTTATTGTACAAAACAAGGCATCTCCTCCAGCATTTTTCAGCTGGAGAGATGTTATATAAGCACTTGATGAAAGGGAACATCTTATTAATTCTCATTCTAGAGACAAGGAAACTGAGGTCCAGAGAAAGAAGGTGATCCATCCAAGATCACCCTGCAGAGTGGATGCAAATAGAGGTCTGCCCGGTCCCAGCTCAACATCCACACAGTGGGTCATCCTGTATCAGCACCCAGCTGGAAAATCTCCTGGATACCAAATATCATCAAATGGAAAACAAACCTAACACTTCAAGGTGTGCACTGCCATGGGGAGAGTAAGGAAGGTGTTTCTCATCAAACCTCCCATCACAGAGCTGTATTTTTCACTGGGATGGGCAGTTTAATTTTTCCATGAAGGTGAAGTATAGGCAGAAATTAAGATCTTGGAACAGATCAACTGATCTAATGTGGCATACACTGTGCTTCTAACTCTTCCTAAGTCCCACAGTCCTCTTGAGTATATTTTCCAAATAAGAAGAAAATAGAAGAGACAGAAAGATATAAATATTGGAGGCTAAATTTGAGCTAAAGCAGCGCCTGAGGGAGAATAAAAAAAAAATAAGGAACACAAAAATAAAAAAAGAAGAATCAGAGAACAGTTTATCAGATGCAAGGTTAGGAAGGGACGGGGGTTATGGTTAATAATAAGCCAATTTGTTGTTCTGCTCCCAGGCTACAGCCCAGTCTCTCACTCCCCTCCCCCAGCTCCTTCATCACTCCCATCCTGCCTCCCGCCCTCCCTGTCGCTCACTCTTTCTGCTCCATCACTTCGAGTCAGGCTGATGCAGGGTGCCTGCCTCTTCCCATGGCTTCACACCACTGACCCGGCCAACAGCATGGCTGCACCTGCTCCCCAGGCTCCCCTGCCAGCCCTCTGCCAGAGGGTGGGAAGAGAGTGCTTGGAGCATACCAAAATTGCAGGGGAAGAGTTCTCCATTTGCTGAGGATGGAGCAAGAAGAATGATCTGTCTGAGCACTGAGGGCTGCACAGTACAGCTGGAGCTGAAGGAGATCCATGGAGCCACCACACTTGGCCAAAACAATCTGTCCTGCTGACACAGCCACTCCAGTGCTGGTAACCAGCTAATATCTGCATGGCACTGCAGTGTGCCTTATGCATCCCCAGGGGCTGCTCAGGAGGCCTGGGCAAGAAGAGCAGGAGTTATCACAAGCTTGCAGCACAAGCAGGCTCCATGTCTCCTTATCCTACCCTCTCTGCTGTACAGGCTTTGAGGGAAAAAGCGTTCTCCTTCTCCTGCTCTGTATGCAGCCCACTGGGACACATAGGGCAGGGCCCAGCAACGTGCAGAGCAAGCAGGTGCTAGTGGGTTGGACAGGAAGGAAAGGACTCCAGCATTAGCAAATGGGAGATGAAGAGGAGGAAGAGTCCTATGTGGAACAGCTCCTCACAACAACACAGCAAGAAGAGACCCATAAAATACTCTCTGTACATGAGGGTAAGAAAGATATGTGGCTTCTTGTCACCATCAGTACTCCAGAGCCACCAAATGGAGCTGCCTTGATGTCAACTGAGGAGCAGGGCTCAGGTGAAGGTCCCAAATTGGTCACGAGCATTTCAGAATGATTCCCTCTCATCTGCAATTCAGGCCAGTGCAACACTAACCTTATCAAAAAGTCTGCCACACAAAATTCCTGGGAGAAGGCTGCTTGTCTAAGACATGTGGCTGTTAAGAGGGCTGGCTGCCAAGCTAACCTGGGCACTCCAAGCCCAGCAACTCTCAGGAGCCAGCACTGAGCTGAGATAGAGCCATCATTAGCCAGCAAGCTGCTGTGACATAGCAGTCACATGTTCTGTCTCCCAGTAACTCCCAGACTCCGTGCTGGATCAGCCCCTGGTGACCGTCCATATCCCCCTTCCCTGGCCACACAGGAGTGTGAAAAGTAGCCAAGCAGACAGCCCAGCTGCTGGGAAAGGCACTATGGCCAAGAAATGCCTAGAAATGCCCTCCAGCACTCACACATCTGCCTACACGTGTGCACAAGCTCTCACAGCCAAAACAAGGTCAGCCTGTGCCCACACATCTGCATCTTCACATGCACATACATCACCTGTGGGGGGATGTCTCTGAGGCAAACACACCCAGAGACAGGTAGGACTGCCTGTCTAAGTAAGGAGAAGGATCAGGTGGGGATTAGACTGCTCGCACTTTCCCCCAGCTTGGGCAGAGGCAGGCTGGGCATCCCTGTGTGAGTCACCTTGCCCCTCTGCACAGGGAAGGTAGTATCTCCATCATTTTGCTGAAGTGTATTGAAGCCCAAGGCTGAAATGCAGCCTGTAGGAGCCAAGTGCTTATTAGATGTCCTGAGCACACACTTACTGCTTCTGGATGCATCATTGCATGTGAGTTGACCTTTGGTAGAGTGGGAAACGAGGGAGGGAGGGAGGGAGGGCATGGGAGGGAGGGAAGAAGAGAGGACAGGTGACATTTCAGCTGCATTCAGCAGGAGGGGGAGTGGTGAAGAGGTAAAGGCAGGTGGCTCCCAAAACATGGGTGCCATTAGGGCTCTTGCAGCCACTCAGGTGAAATTGCAAGGGAGCAAAGCAGCAAAAGCAAGCAGGGAAGAAAACATTTTTAAAGCTGAGAGGGTAAATGGGAACTACAGCAGCCAGAAGGAGATGCGACCAAGGCTGAGGAGAAGACTTCAGCCAAGGCAGATAGGCAGGGCCTGTAGCCGTAAGTACCAGAATATTGTGATCAGCTCTGAGGCCCCCAGCCCAAAAAAAGGCAAAAATTCACTCAAGCAGGTTCAGAGAAAGGCCACGAAGATGATCCAAGGGCTGGAGCACTCCCTTTTGAGGAAAGGCTGAGAGAGTTAAGGTTGCTCAGCCTAGACAAGAGAAGAGGTTTTGGGGAGAACTTGCATCGGTCTTCCAGTACTTAAATTGGTCCTACAGAAAAGATGAGGAGGGACTCTTTATCAAGGCATGTAGCGAAAGGGCAAAGGGGATGGCTTTAACTAGAAAGAGGATAGATTTAGATGAGATACTAAGAAGAAATTCTTCACTGTGAGGCTGTGAGGCACTGGAACAGGGTTGCTAAGAGAAGTTGGGGATGTCCCATCCCTGTGAGTGTTCAAGGCCAGGTGGGTGGGGGCTCACAGCAACGTAGTCTACTAGACTAGAAGTAGACTACTAGTAGTCTACTAGTTTCTGCCCATGGAACTAGACAATCTTTAAGGGTCCTTGCAACACAAACCATCCTATAATTCTATGATTCTATGGGTGGGTGGAAAAAAGATGAGGACCAGGTGACAGGTGCTGGAAGAAAACAAGAAATCAGAGGAGAAGGAGCTTCTGATAATCTATGGGCAAGACAGACCTCCTGATCTTCTATCTGTAGGAGATAAAAAACTGGGGAAAGGAGAGATTGGCAGAATTTTGCTATAATCATTTTCGTGAGCTATTTTGCACCCTGGATGGAGGAAACAAATCACAGCCCCACGGGTGTGTTGGCTGAGGGGACCTGAAGGTTGACTTCAAGGGCAGCCACCCAGGGAAAACTCATCTGCTTACAGACTGCAAAACTCTCTAAGCAGTAAAGTGGTTTTCCACTGCTGAGGTGGTTTTCCAAGAAGCATGGGAGCTACAAGGAATGAATTGAAAGGTTCTCCACCCCTTAGATCAGCACTATAGAGAATTTCGAAAGGCGACACACACACACACACAAAATCAGTTTGCCTCTAGACACCCTTTTGGCTCACATCTAAGGACAGATTTAGCTAGAATTAATTGCCTTAGTGAACAGCAATGCACTCCAATCCAAGCCTTGTGAGGAAAATCTATGAATTACTTCAGTTGTCTTGGAAAATGACATGCAGTCAAAGTCATACTTGAGGAGTGAAGGATAGTATGCCTCTCTGTAAGGACTTAAAGTTCCTTGGGTGATGGACAGTTTTTCTTCCATCAGCTTCAGAGTGATGGGGGAGGAGAGCACAGCACTCCTCCAAATAGCTAGGAGAATCATGCCAGCATGATAAGAGATGCAGAAAGCATGACCCACCAGTACTGAGCAAAATGAAGCTGTTTAGACTACAGAAGGTTGAGAAGGGGCACAATAACAGTCTTCAAATACTTGCAAGTTTGCTGTAAAAGGAGAAGAGTTCTCAGTTCTTAGCGTCCACATTGGGCAGAAGCAATAAGAGGCTTACATTGCAGTACAGGGCACATGGTGGTAAGGAAGACAAGGTGTACAACACACAGACTGCCTGAGGATGCAGGGGGACAGCCTGCACTTTGGGGCTTCGAAACCAGGCCAGCCAAAACCTCTTGGGAACAATGTGTGCATTGATCATCCTGACATGAATATGAAATCAGTGACATCCTGAGGATACTGCCAGGCCTGTCTTCTGTGGATGTCTAATCCCAAATGCCTGTGGCCACCACCACAATCAGGCGTTGCTATTGTGGTTCTTTTCAGGGAGAAACAGCAGCTGTCTCTCCCCTGGTCATTTCTTCCTGAGCAATACTCATTTATTTTGTCTTCCTGAGAGTCTCACAGAGCCCAGCATGTGTTTGCAACACTTTGTGAATAATAACACTCATATATCTCCAGCAAACTAAAAACTGGGTCAGCTAAGGCACATGCCTGTGTACATCAGGAGCAGCCAATGCATCTGGCAATGAACCCTACAGTGCTGCAAAATATAACCAACCAGGCCCACGGGGGTTATAAGGCAGTGTACCTGTGTGGGGGAAAGAGGGAAGAGTTCAGCTATAACTGGGAAAACGCAACCATTTTGGTGACATTTAGCAGGTGAAACCATGAATAAAACAGGACCTGAGAGAGAGTTCTAACAAACTGCTCACGCTACTCCTGGCCACTGGAAGAGAGGGAGTGAATGCGCAATTACCCCAGCTCCAGAAGCTGCCTCCAGTGCTCCTGATCTTCGTGCGTACTCATCAGAAAAGGCAGGATGCAAATGAAGCCAGAGACACATATTTAACTGTAGTATGGAGGAGGGTGGCTGAGGAAGGACATTCAGAAGGAAAAAGTGAGTCAGGAATGTTGGAGAAGAGCAGAGACAAGATAAAAGCACAGCACATAGCAAAACATGCACTCTTTTAACTAGGGGGAGTTTAGAGAGAAATGAGTCCTGTCTCACAAGTTGGAACAGGCTCCACACAGCTGGTCAGAAGGTCTCAGGCCCCTGAACCCATAGGCTCTCAACTGGCTGCAGCTTGTGTATATAGATGCCAAAGCAACCATACTGCATGAGGAGAAGCTAAGCTTGGAGTCTTGGCCCAGAGACCAAGATGAGGATCTGTGCCTCACCAGTAAGCAGGACCTTGAGCAACCTCATGTATGCTCAAGTGCATATGCACATCCATCCCAACAGGGCCAAAATCCAAAATGAAATCAGACCCTCTGTCAGAGACAAAGCTGTTTGCTGCAGCAAGGCAGCCAAAAGGGAGAGAGAAAAAAACCTCAACAATGGGATACACAGGTAGGAGCTGCCCAGCTGTTTCATCTGGTCATTTCTCTTTCCATATTTTACAAAGCCCTGGTGACCACTGGGGAGTTCCCTGAAAATGCTGTGCTATGTCATCTCAGCATGGCCTTGCATTCTGCCCATTAAGTTACAGCCCCTCAAAGACAGAAAGCTGTCTGATATTACCCATCACCCCTCAATCATCCCTGATCACCTTGGTGAAACGGCCTTAGGCCAGTCCCCCCACCAAGAAGTGGATGGGAGAAGTAGATGGGAGACAGGAGAGAGCAATTGCCAGTTTTAATCTGTCCAGTGATAATCAGGCTGGCAAAGATGTACAGAGCACAAAATCAGGCAGCAGGAGTACACAGGCAGGGAGCCGGAAATAATTACCACGATACTGTAACCAGAAAACACAAGGCCAAGCTATTTACCATACTAATTAATGTTTATCCTTGTTTATGGCTCCACATGGCAGTGGGACTAGAGGCCTGACTGGAGGTATAAATGCTTAAAGGAACAAGCTCTGGATATTAGAATTAAACATCAGGCCAATGGAAAGCTTCTGATCAGCTGAGGACAGGGAGAGCTAAGCCATCCATCCCTCTCTTCCTCTACCAAAGATTTGGAATTGCTGAAAGGAAGACTCAGATTGTCCTTCCAAGGCACAGTTATGGGGAAGTGCCCAGAGCCTGCTACATGCTATTTATCAGCTAATGCATCTCCATATCTTCATCTACCTAAGATCTTTTTCTCCTACACTGTTTCTCTTGGATGCTGCTTAAAGATTTCTCTAAAGTATTCCTAAATGTTTCTCCTCTAAACTGAGTCTGTTTCAACAAAATAAGTTACAATTTTTCCTATATTACACCAGAGTTATTTTTCCAAGGCAGTTTTCCCACATCTTCCCTCCTTCAACACCTTTTTCTTTTTTATTTCTGAACAGATTTAGCAGAGAGGCACTGGAGAAAGGGAGGGATGTGCCGCAGACTGCCTGCCTGCCACTGGCAAAGGTGAGCATTAGGATGAAGATTCAGGAGCTCATAGCAGGAGCACCTGCTCCAAACCCTGGCCCCCTACTCCTTTCTGCGTGATCTCCCACTGGGATGTTCTGCCCAGCAGCAGCCAGCCAGTTTCTTCTTCCCATCCTCACCACCGCCTGCTACAAAGCTTCCTTGACAACAGCAAGAGGTAGCTGAAATACCTCCCTAATCATTTTTTAATTTATTTTAATACTGTAGGCTGTGTCACAGGGAAATAAGTCTCTGGAGACACTGCTAAGGCAAATTGTGAGTGTCCTGGCACT